TTCCATCTACCATACTCGCTGAGAGAACCCCACTCTCTGGGACCTGACATAGGAGATGTTGGCCTAGTGTGATAAGCCAGGCCCTCTCTGGCTCTTAGCTTTTGTTCTCTTGGTAAAAGAGAGACACAGAATTCTCATTATACTTAAGCCTTGCCAAGGACCTCTGGTTTGGGAGTCACACTGGTCTGGTCAAATTGGACCCCTTTGGTAGTGTTTCTATGCTTTAGGGAATGATTGTAGCAGTAAATGTTAGCTGTCCTTATTAGAGAGAGCTGGCTATGTCCTCTTAGGTTAAGAGGGTTCAGAAGGCTGTATATATGTGAATGGGGGGCTGCAGGTTATCATTTGTAATTGGTCATGTGCAGGTTTGCTGCAGAGCAAGCAAATAGTCCAGAGGTCTTAGTATTCCTTTTGTGACATTCTCCTCTTTATATATAAGACTACATACGTTTGTTTTATCAGGTCCTAACTTTGTTATCGTACAGTGTTTTTGTAATCTCTGAACTTCTCATGTAAAGCAAAAAGTGTCTGTAATAGAGCAGGTAGCTCACTGAAGCTAGAGGTGATGGTCTAACTTTGCAAGTGCTCTCCTTTTTCTTTTCTTTTTCTTTTTTTAAAGATTTTATTTATTTCTTTGAGATAGGGGAGAGAGAGAGAGAGAGAGAGAGAACAAGTAGGAGTAGTGGGAGGGGAAGAAGCAGGCCCCCTGCTTGCAGGAAGCTGATGCAGGACTCAATCTCAGGACTTGATCTCAAGACCCTGGGATCATGACTTGAGCGGAAGGCAGACGCTTAATCGACTGAGCCACCCAGGCGCCCCTGAAAGTGCTCTCCTTGAAGGGTCTGGTTAGCATACCAAACCACAGAGGAATTGCCCCAAAGTAAGGAAGACGCAGTTCAGTTTGGAGGCATGAAGTTTTTTCTTGGTATTAGGGTAGTATCTGAGAAAATATCTACTGGGCTCATTCGTAAATCAGAGTCCTCTTGTCTCTAGTCTGTACCTTTCTCTTCCAATGATAAGTTCCTCCAGGAAAGATCTTGAAGATCTTTCTTCAGGGATGTTTCTCTAAAGGGACTTGAGTCATCGGTGTCTCCAATGGATTGTATTGTTTCTTCTGGAACGCTTTAATATGTAGTAGGTAATTTTTTAAAACTTTTTTTTTTTTTAAATTTTTAAGTAATCTCTACACCCAGTGTGGAGTTTGGATTCATGACCCGAATCAAGAGTTGTATGCTCTATTGACTGAGCCAGCCAGATGCCCCATCCTTGAGATTTTTTATTCCAGGACCAGAATATCTGCTATGTTATGATAACATTGCTGGTGTAAGACTGGGGCAGGGTGACCTATGAGAGGAAGGCCTGGCCATGGTCAGGAAGGAAATTAGGACAAGGCCAGTAAGACATAAGAGTTTTCTCTGTTATCATTTATTGTGAATTAGTTTTGACTCCTTGAGTGAGAACTGAAACTTTGTGATCTGACCTGGGACTCACTGGCCAACCTTCACTAGGCGGATCATTTTTTGACTGTAACGCTTATGAGACTTCACTGAGAAAAACAATAGAATTCCCAAAATATCTATGCATGGTAAATTTTAGCAGCTTAAAAAATTTTCCTGAAAGTTAGAAAGTTGTAGTTAAAAAGTTAGTTGTTGTAATGTACACCATGATGATCTTAGTTAATAATACCATATTGTATATTTGAAAGTTGCCAAGAGAGCAAATTTTAAAGGTTCTCATCACAAGAAAGAAATTCTGTAATTATGTGTTGTGATGGATGTTTAAAAAAAAATCTGTTTCCATCCTATAGGCAGCTTCCAATAGGAGATATTTTAAAATAGTTAAAATTTGAAGGTGTATTTTGTGAGAATATTCATTATCTGATGTAATTTCTGAAAGCTTATAAAGTTGAAAAATTCTTTTAAAGTCCTTAAAAGTTGAATTTGTATTATATTTACTTTAAAAAATTTATAGGTTTTAGTGAAAAGAAAGTTTCCTTTAGAATTTCACCGTCTAGCTTCATTACAAGATGGTCTCTGCAACATATACTAAGGTATATCCCATATACTTTAAAAGAAGAGTAAAAGAACAAAAACCAAGCAAATGCAAAATATTTGAAATCAACCAAAAAGACTATTGGTGACAAAAGCACAGCCTTATGAATTTGTCCCTTTTGGTGAATGGACTTGTAAAATAAACTTAATTTCACATTATTAAATAATAGCAATAGTCTGTTGTGAAATGTAAATTCTTCCTGGAAAAGGGCATCAAAACAGACAATCCAAACTTCCAGATCAGTTGTGGGTATTTTCCTCCCCACAGGTGTTTTAGGGAACCAGGAAATGTAATTAGTGATAGGCTGGGAGCCAAAAGAGCTGAGTCCTTATGCTGAGCCTGAATCCTGTTTGTGGATGCCCAGCCTGTAGAAGGCAGTCTTTAGGTTTGGGATCAGACACCACAAAATCTGCTTAGGTTTTACGGGCCTTGACTCTCCTTTCGGTAAATCAAGCCTAACTTACTGACGGAGAACAATAAATGGCAAAAACGTGCCAACCAATAATAAAATAACAAAAGGAAATGCCCAGTGGACAATAGTTTCAAATGGAGGAAGCAGGGCGCCTGGGTGGCTCAGTTGGTTAAACGTCCAACCCTTTTTTTTTTTTTTTCCTTTTAAAGATTTATTTATTTATTTGAGAGATAGCAAATGAGCGAGGGAAGGGAGAGAGGGAGACGGAGGGGAGAGATCTCAGGCAGACCGCAGGCAGCTGCAGTTTCCACTGAGCAGGGAGCCCTACATGGGCTCAGTCTTACAACCCTGAGATCATGACCTGAGCCAGAACCAGGAGTCAGATGCTCACCATCGGAGCCACCCAGGTTCCCCTAAACATTGACTCTTGATTTTGGCTCAGGTGGTGATCTCAGGGTCGTGAGATTGAGCCCCATATGGGGCTCCATGCTCAGGGGTAGGTCTGCGTCTCTTCCTTTCTCTCTCCCTCTGCTCCCTCACTCCCCCCCCCCCCCCCGCTTGTGTGCTCACTCGCTCGCTCTCTCGCTCTCTCTCAAAAATAAATAAATAAATAAATAAATCTTAAAAACAAAACAAACAAATTGTGGAAGCAAGGAGATATGTGTCAGCACCACTGATAGTGACCTTGAAGTCTTTAGATAACTTAAGTGCATTGACTGAACTGAATTGAATAAAATGTATTTTTAAAGCTTTATTTCGTAGGGGTATTTTCATAAGCCCGTCTGGAAATGAGGACTTTGGTCATGAGACCCACTTTGAGGCAAACCCTTCCTTTTCGAAGTTCACTTTAAAAGAGCAATGCCATTTTCAGAATAAGTGATTCTTGATTAGGAAGGAAATGCCTAAAGGGATGGTGAGGGTTTCCAGGCTCATTGCTGGGATACATATAGCTGAGTCTTCTGTGGTTTCATTAAAGCTGGAACATTGCAGCTTCAGTAGAATAGATGTCAGAACTGGAAGAGTTTCTTTTCCTTGTAGAAAATTGCAGGGTGAATGAAGAAGGGGAGGTAGTCGAGCTCTCTCACATTTTTAAAGGGGCTGTTAAAAAAGCAGGTACTCTGTGGGTTGTGGTCAATGTGTAAGATATAAAAAGCTGCTTTTACAGTCAGTTTGAATTTACAGACAAATATTAAAAGTACCTGTGTATCTATATTTTGAAAACGATTTGTCGAAATGCTGTAACTATTTTGACATACAAGGAAATTGAGCAGATTTCATTGAGTTGCATCAGGTTCTCATTGTTTTATGTTTGAGTTTGATGACTACTTTGATTTCATTTTTAACAGCTTTTTACATTTCATGTTTAGCATGTATGCAGCATACCAAGCTGCTAATTTTTGGATTTAGTTGAATACTTGAGCATGTGGCATATTGCATGGTATAGAGCAGGTGCTTAATAACTGTTTGCTTGAATCCATGTATTGTATTAAGATGTTTGCTGATCCCACCCTTTTGATGCTTTGTCTTTTCCCATTAACGATTTATTTTCAGATAAGTAAAAGTGGACTTTTTATAGAACATTCTAGAAAGAAAATATGAGTATTGATGCTCTGTTAATATTAGTATTAGTGCTCTTAGGAAAATAGGACGATTGACACATTTAAAAATAAACTAAAATATGAAAAGTTCAGATAACTTTTCTGGGAGTGGGTATGGTATTTAGGGAAAGAAAAAGGATGAATAATTACTCAGCCTTAGAAAAGAACTTGCCATTTGTGTCAACATGGGAGGACCTAGAGGGTATTGTGCTAAGTAAAATAAGGCCGAGAAAAACATATACCATACGATTTCACTTATATGTTGAATCTAAAAAACAAAACAAATAAATAACAGTAACAACAAAGACCCCCCACAAACAGACTTATAAATACAGATAATGAACTGGTGGTTGCCAGAAAGGAGGATGGGTGTGTGGGGCGGATGGGTGAAGTAGATAAAATGGGTAAAGAGGTGCAAACTTATAAACTAAATAAGTTAAGAAGATGAAAAGTGGAGCATAGGAAATATAATCAATAATGTATTAATGTTTTATAGTGACACATTATAACTACACTTATCATGGTGAACATTACAGAATCAGTATGTTGTACACCTGAAACTAATAAAACATTGTATGTCAATTGTACTTCAATAATAAAAATTCAAAAAAGAGGAAAGATGATTAGATTTTACATATAAGATTAAGTTTTCAAAAATAATCCCAGTAGTAAAGACATCAATAATTTAATTATTTCCCATTGTATGTCTCCCTTCTTGGAGAGAAATATCTGTTCTGTTGTCAAATTTGCATCAGGATTGGGCTGCAAAAAGTCTATGGCCAGTAACCTTCCACCCTCATGTACAAATGGCATAGAAATGAAAGTTGAAAGTTGGTACATTTCACTGATTGTGACACATCTTGGAAGTTGAGATGTTTATCTTCTGTATATTTTAACATTGTCTCTATAGTTACACTCTTTTTATTGCCTCTTTTTAGTCATACAGTTTATCAAGAAAGAAAATAGTGCACTACACCTGTTTTGATCAACGGAAAAGAGCAAATGCGGCATTTTTGATAGGTGCTTATGCCGTAAGTACTTTTTCATGATTATTTTCTATATTCAGGCCAAAGGAATGCTACCACTGTCACATAAAATCCAGGCCACTTTTTCAGTGGAATTGGGAGATAGTGAAAATTATTAACATGCTGGGAATGGATGGGGACTACTATCCATGGGGTGTTGAACTCCCAGATTTTATTTCTTCATAGCTAATTAGAGAATTTTAGAACCGCAGTAGGTAGCTTGGATCCCGCAGTTGTATAGGTGTTTCTAAAAAAAGAATATCCAGAAAGAATATTTCTAGGGAAAAGAATATATAGTAGAAGATTTTTATTTTTATTTATTTCATTTTGTTTATTTTTTAAGTAGGCTTCATGCCCAGTGTGGAGCTTGAACTTACAACCCTAAGATCAAGACCTGAGCTGAGATCAAGAGTTGGACATGTAAAGGACAGAGCCACATGGGTACCCCTATAGTGGAAGGTTTTTTTTTTTTCCCAAGAGAGAGGGGTGGGAGGGGCAGTGGACAGGGAGAGAGAGAAAGTTAAACAGGCTTGCAGGCTTCATGTTGGGCTCAGTCTCACAACCCTGATCATGACCTGAGCCGAAATCAAGAGTTGGAATACTGAACCATTTCGAGTGCCCCAGTATAGTGGAAGGTTTTTAAAGACTGTTGACGTGTGCCTCTTGCCAAAGAGGAAATCATAGATTGCATGGGGATGGGTTATTAGTATTATTTTTATCAATCTATTTATTAATCTGCACATGTGTTTGCAGTAGGCAAACTATTTATAAAGCCTCCATGTATTACAACATCCCTAAGAACTGGATAGGACTTTCCCAAAATAATTTTGATTGGAATTTTTATTCTCTGTAATCACTAAAATGTAAATCTGAGTTCCATGTGAATGTGCTGGAAAGTTTTGGTGTGATTATTTCTAGAATTTTCTATATATACTGGGATTGGACAAAACTTGAAAGGCAGAAACCATCAAGGCTAACACTCCTCTGGAACCTGTACTAGCTTTTTAGGGACATATGTGATATCCACTTAGGAGTATGTTGGTCTAAAGGCAGGGGACAGAGGTGTCCTTTCCGATCATCCTTGGGGGGAGGGTCTGTGCTTCTCTGAAGCCTGGAAGCACATGCTGTGGGAACCTTTCAAGGGCCTCCTTCTGAAGATCTTGACGAAAGGGGGTACCAGCTACTATCCATCAGATTCTGCCACATCAAACCAGAAGCCCTGGGGGAAAAAGACCAAAGGTGGCATTGGAAAGACTCTCATTTATTTTAGGGTGCAGGCTGAGAATAGTGACCAGCGGACAGCCTGATTGCAGCCTGGGGCCTTGTTTCCAGGGCTGAGATGTCCAGCTCTGCCCCTGATGTAGCTCTAGTAAAGCCTGGTACCATCCCTTGCAGTACTTTTCCTTCTCACTCTGTAGGCAGCATGGTATAATATCAAGAATCGTGACTAAAAACATTTTTTCATCCTGAAGCGTCTCTGGGATGATGGCTAAGCCACTCTATCTCTCTTCACTTGATTTAGTTTCCTTATCTGTAAAATGATAGGGTTGGCTATAGTGACCTCTAGGTTTCCTTTCAATTCTGAGGATACGAGGATTATTTGCAGTGATAGCCAGACTATTGTTTTTATTTTAAAGGCGTGCACAAAAAGCTGGCTGTTGGCATGAAGCTTCAGTGAAGTGTGCTGGTAAGCTGAATTAAGTAGGCAGACTTATTTTTCACTTTGCGTTGATAATTATTACTCTTTTGAAACTGAGAATTGGCACTGTGTTTAGAATACGGAGCGCTTGTAATAACCTCTGGATTCCAGCCATGTGAGCAAGCGTGTCTTTCCTGAGGGGTTTTGTGATGCGCGAGCATGTTCTCTGGGAGTCCTCTGTCATAAGGGATTGCCATCAGGAAGAGGTCACTCGCTGCTCTCTCCTCTCCTTCCTCTCTTCTTTTTAATGCCCAGACTTCCTGTCTCTGGGGTCATCCTTAATTTCATCAGTGGTACCTCTAGAGTTTTGAAAGGAACCTCAGTTACAACAGATGCATTGAGCTTGGGATACGATACATCTACCACAGAAGTTTCCACCACATTAATGCAACCAGATGAAGGAAGGATAGTCTCAGCAGGGTTGAAGAAGTGCTGAGGGCAGCACGAGCTAGGGTTCCATACTCATTACAGTCTAGAGAAGCCATGTAAAGTAATTATTCTTGTGCCGTTAGTTTCCTAATTGATTTTCTTTTCCAGTTTTGGAAATGCATTCCCCAGAAAGCTTTTTGACACAACGCTTAAAAAAATGAAAACCAAGAGTTATATTCTTTCCTTAAAGAGAATTTTGTGCCTTACTTCGTGTTGTGTGTATGCATTTAATGGTTGGCACAAGTTTTGTAGGAAGAGAGTCAGTAATGTGCCTTATACATATATCGCAATGAAGTTACAGATGTATTAAATGTTGCTATTTGGATAAGCTGGAATCTTCTGGGGATCTTCCTATTATTAAGGTCAAATATCCAACTGCATGTTTGTTATCTCCACATTATATATTTAAAAGATATCTCACACTTATTTATTTTTTTAAAGATTTTTATTTATTTGACAGAGAGAGAGATCACAAGTAGGCAGAGAGGCAGGCAGAGAGAGAGGAAGGGCAACAGGCTCCCTGCTGAGCAGAGAGCCCAATGTGGGGCTCGATCCCAGAGTCCAGGGATCATGACCTGAGCCGAAGGCAAAGGCCTTAACCCACTGAGCCACCCAGGTGCCCCGATATCTCACACTTACTGTGGCAAAACAGAACTTTTATTCCTTTTTTCTATGAACCTATTTATTGCCACAGTCACTGCCTACTTAGTAATTGGACTACCATCAGTGACTTGCTGAAACAAGGAATAGTAGTCATTTTTATTCCTCCTGTTTCCTCTTCCCACATTATATTCATCAGTAAGTTTGAACAGCTGTGCCTCTAAAACATATGTTGATTCAGAATACTTTCCATCTCTGTTGTCCCCTAGCTGTAGTCACTGTCGCTGTTCACCTGGATGACCACCAGAGCATCATACACTGTTTCCTTTTTACACTCTTGGTTTTGTTTAATCACAGTTGCCACATAATTGTCAGAAGAATCTTTAAAAAATATAAATTAGATCATTCACGGCCCTGTTTCAAATCTGTCTAGTGCTTGGTCACTGTTCTTGGCATTAAATTCAACCTCCTTACCAATGCCAGTAAGATCCTCCCTGATCTGGCCCTGCCTATGCCTGTGTTCTCCTTGCTCAGGATGCCCCCATCACGCTGGCCTTCTAACCATGAAAATCTCAAGCTTATTCCCACCAGAAGGCCTTGATGTTTCTGTTCTCTCTGTCTGGAGCATTTTTACCTAAAACCTTTGCCTTCCTGATTCCTTGTCATGTCACTTCCTCAGAGACGTCTTTTCAAGTTTTACTCTGCCCTCCCCAACCCCTGTCACCCTCTAGTCCCTTATTGTTTTGTTTTCTTTATAGCACTCTACTCTTTGAAATTATCTGATTCATTTATGTATTTGCTTGTTTATTATCTCTTCCTGAGACTAGAGGGTAGGAACCTTGTCTGTTCTGTTCATTGCTGTGTCTGGGAGGGGATAAAACAGTTAACAAGGGGTTAGGCCCAGCAGTTCGCCACTTGAATTGGAAGCTGGCCACCATGGAGCCTTCCTGTTATGCTGAGTCATGGGGAAGTCCAGCATGGGGGGAGTCCAGGGAAGAGATGAGGTGGCCAGTGTGGAGGGGCATGGGATGCTGCAGACTGCAGCTATTTACCAACTGGTTGGGAACTATTTCAGTATTTCAGCACTGGGCATCAGCTTAGAACTGTGCCCTGCACATAGTAGGTGCTCTGTGTCTACACAATGAATATGCAATGCGATGACAAAATATGGAAGAAGGAAGGAAGGTAACTCCCTTGAGGTAACTTCAGAGGGAAACAGAGAATGATCATATCGGACATGAAGTGTAAAGTGGTATCTTCGTCATTACCAGAATGTTGTGATCTTGACTGAGTCCACTCTGACCTTTAAAGATGTAAAATCAAAGCAGAGATCAGAGTCCAAGAGCAGTACCCACTACATCAAGTCACATCATTACCTTGCCTTTTTTCTGAATGAACTTTTTTTCCAATTTTTAAAATTATGGTAAAATACATACAATTTAAAATTTACTGTCTTGCCCTTTCTTTCTTTCTATTTATTTACTTTTTAAATATATTTTTTAAGGACTTAATTTATTTGTCAGAGAGAGAGAGAGAGAGCGAGTGAGCATAAGCAGGGGGAGGGGCAGGCAGAGGGAGAAGCAGGCTCCCCACTGAGCAGGGATCCCGATGTGGGACTTTATCCCAGGACCCTAGGATCATGACCTGAGCTGAAGGCAGACACTTAACTGACTAAGCCACCCAGGAGTCCCTTTAATTATTTTTTTAATTGAAGTATAATTGACATGACATTATATTACTTTCAGGTGTACAATGAAATGATTTAATATTTGTGTATATTGAAAGATGATCACCATGCTAATAAGTCCAGTTAACATTTGTCACCATACATGGCGACAAAAACATTTTTTTCCTTGTTTTGAGTTTTAACCTCTTTCAGCATACAGCTTGGTAGCTTTGGGTACATATGTATTGTTCTGCAGCTGTCCTATCTTGCTTGTGAGTGTGACATCTTGTGCCAAACACGCATGTACAGACTCACGGCTTTGCCTGTGTTTTCTCTGTTAGATTAGGACTTTAAGTATGTCACACAAGCTTTTGTGTTTCTATTTTCTTATCTCGAAGTGAGGGAGAGCCTTTTTACATTTTATCTCATAGCACTGTCATGAGTATTAAACAGAAGATAAAATATAGAACGCCATGTTCAGTAGGAAATCCATAAACCCTTCTCTGTGGGTGATGCTAATGCCAGGGTTGCTGGAATGATGTGGCCCCTGGAGATTACAGTGAGGCTGAACTGATACCATTTCAGGGAAGTCCCTCCCCATGAAGTATCTCT